AGCATTTTAACTTTTAGCACTTTCTGAATTTTAGCTTTTTGCACTTTGAGCATTAATGCTTCTTGCACTTTGAGCGTTTTTGTTTTTAGGAATTTAGCACGTTTGGCACATTGGGCGTTTTTGGCTTTAGCGAATTGTGCATTTTTGCTTCTAGCACTATGTGAATGTTTGATTTTAACRAGTTGTGAAATATTTCATTTTAGAACATCGAGCATTCTAGCATTTAGTACTCTGCGTAGTTTTGCACTTTGAGCATTTTTGCTTTTARGAATTTAGCACRTTTAGCACATTGAGTATTGTTGCGCTGACAAGTCCGTATGAGGGATGTTGTCGGACGCTCGGTCTTCAGAACCCTTGTGAGAAGGAATGTTTTAAGCAATACACAATTGTGATTATTTTATAACGAGTATATTATAATCAGCTAATATATGGGGGACGGGGAACACCGTTGGACTTGACGACGAAGATGGCTTGAGATGATGATTGACTTGACGTTGGACTACCGTGCTGCACGTCCCGAGATTTGTATCTCCTAGTTGAGCGTTCACGAACAGATGACCTTTAGGCCTTTTGCAATCGGTAAAAGCAACCGTGAGCAAAGCTGAGCTAAAAGGCAGAAAGATCGTATATAAAAGCTTAAAGCGCCGGAGCGGACGTAGAACACGGAACACGTGGAAACACACACAGTTTTCAAAAACAACGGCCGAATAGCACGTAGGACGAGTGCGTACGTAAAAAAAACCGCACACACACCGCAGCACGGCGGCGTCGGCAGACGCGTCGTTACCCGAACCAAGGTGACGAGCGCATCAGGCTGACCAACATTGCGGGTGGCCGAGCGTGGTCACCACTTGCCGCCAAACAGTGGCGGGTTTAAATGAACGAAAAGATCGAACATACTCCCCCTTGCAAGTCCCAGCTGACTTATAACAAAAGTTCGATCCGGTTAAATTGGAGTGGCAGAAATACAGCATGAGAGTCTGGCTTGATGAATGAACGGAGCAGCTTACTGGAWAGATTGAGCCACGCATAARCAGTACGTKTTTGAACGCAGCAGTCGAGCCGATGGACGGATCAGTCGAGCTGATGAACGGAGCAGTYGAGCCGATGGAMGGAGCAGTCGAGCTGATGAACGGAGCAGTCGAGCAGAGCAGTTGAACGGAGCAGTTAAACATTGATTGAGCAGCGCAGTGGAATTGAGCSGTTGAGCAGTTGAGCAGATGAGCGGAGCAGCTAGTTAATGAACGGAGCAGTTGAGCAGTGGATAGGTATGTGCTCGAGCCTGAGCGGAGCTAAATATCACAATAGAAACAATTTTAATATCACAAATGGTTAATAATCAGTCTTATGTTACAATGTATATATATATTTTTTTTTAAATTTAACCTAGCTAAACAATTAAAAAATTACTACTTCCCTCACGGGTTTCCGAGGCTGAGCGGCCRGCGGAACATGTGATAGCAGGCTAAGTGGCTGATAAAATATAAACATTTTTTACACAATGAGTATAGCAGTGACACACAAACATAGGATGTAAACGGAAGCGGTGATTAGTAGTTCATCGTTATCTACGGATCAGTAGGCAACGGTACTGGCTTTAGTACTCACTGGTCTAGTGAACACTCCCTGGTTGGTCCTAACCTTTGCCACCCGCACTATCTTATCTGTGCCCGGATACACCTCTATAAATCTACCTAATGGCCAGGAGAGGGGAGGAGCGTCAATAGTCTTCGCTATTACCATATTGCCAACCTCAATATTGTTACCTGACTTGGTCCACTTCCCACGAGTTTGAAGAGTACTCAGGTATTTATGTGACCAGCGTCGCCAGAAAACGAAACGACTGCTGGAGGAGCTTCCAGCGAGTACGCAAGGACGCTTRAGTATTAGAGGGCTCTGAATCGGGAATAGAAAGCAACGGTCTACCGATCAGGAAGTGTCCTGGAGTCAAACACTCAAGATCATTAGGGTCAGCAGACGCGGGAACGAGCGGGCGCGAATTCAATGCGGCTTCAACCCTGCAAAGAACAGTGGTGACCTCTTCCAACGTCCAAATCTGAGCATTTATGGTGCGAAGAAGTAAAGATTTAGCCGACTTAACAGCCGCCTCCCAAATCCCACCAAAATGGGGAGCACCAGGGGGGTTAAAATGCCAAGTACAGGGTAGATGCCCTGATATTTTATCTCTCTGATCAGAACGGYTGATCAACTGTCGCAGCTGTTTGGCTGCCCCAACAAAGTTGGTACCACAATCAGAGTAGATGGACGACGGTAGGCCACGAACCWATCCAACGTTAACAAAAACGCATCAGTGGACAAATCAGAAACGATTTCTAAATGTACAGCTTTCGTAGTCATACAAACAAAAACAGCTATGTAGACTTTACAAATTCGGGCCTTACGTAGACTCAGCTCCTTCATTTGCAACGGTCCCGCGTAATCAATGCYGACTATGGCAAATGGATGAGTTTCCTGTACGCGGAAACCGGGCAGATCTGCTATCATGGGTTGAGGATTGATCGTGGCGATTTTGGCATAGATCRTGCACTTTCGAATTACTCGATGGACGACAAGCCGGATACCAATTATCCAAAAACGTCTCTGTCCTAACGCGATAAGCAACCGTGGACCCGCATGACAAGCATAACGATGCCAATGACGRATAATAAGCACTGCAAGGTGAGATTCCTTGGGTATCAACATGGGATGTCTCCGACGCTCTGGCCAATTGGAGTTTGAAGACGACACCCTACACGAATTACCCCAAGGGAATCCAAAAATGGAGAGAGGCGAGCTAACCCCCTTTGACGAATTTCTTCACCTTTATTCAGATTGTTGAGTAATTCGCGTAGGAAGCACACCTTTGCGCACTCTTCACGACCGTACATAGAGCAGAATTCAGCTCTGACTGCTTCAAAAAAACCAGTATCACAGTCCTTCTTCAGGCACCTCAACATGAAACTGCGTAGTCGAGCAACAACTCGAATCATATGGTCGTAGGAGGARAAACGCGCGTACCACTCAGCTGGGGCCTGGCTTTGCGACAACAAACACACTGGCTGCACCTCAGGTAACTGATYCAGAGTTRACTTGAYGATACCTTTCGGCCAGCTGTCGACAGGGGACGACAAAAAACTTGGACCCTTCCAATACAGTGTGGACTTCTCGAGTGCTGCCGGAGGAAGTCCACGCGAGGCGCAATCAGCAGGATTGATCTCCGACCGGACATGTAGCCACTGACAATTAGGTATTGATTGAATCTGGAACACTCGATTGGACACAAAAGTTTTGAATGRTGTGTCGGGATTACTCAACCATGAGAGCACGATGGTTGAGTCTGTCCACGCGRAAACCCCTGCCACACCAATCTGATTCTACAGGATGCGCTTTAGTCTGCTGAGCCACAGAGCGAGCAGTACAGCACCACTCAATTCATGCCGAGGAATTGAGGTAGTCTTCATCGGAGCTAGTTTCGTTTTGGATCCAAGGAGATATGAGCATACATCTCCTGACMGATCCGTCACTCGCAGATAAACGACCGCAGCATAGCCCTTTTCAGAAGCATCAGAGAAACCACACAACACATAGACGCAACCGGTGGAGCAACCGATATAGCGCGGAATCTTGATACCCACAAGCCAACCCAACGATTGATAGAACTCCTGCCAATCCTCTTCAATGTCTGACGGAAGTTGATCATCCCAATCGATCTGCGCGAGCCATACTCGTTGCATTATTGTCTTCGCGTAAAATATGGTTGGTGCTAGTAAGCCTAACGGATCAAAGATCCTGGCGATYATGGATAACACACCGCGCTTGGTAGGGATCATCTTGAAGTTATTGATACTAAAGGAGAAATAATCCTGGCCATGGTTCCACCGCATGCCCAACACCTGCGTCGCATTATCTTGCTCGAACGCCAACGGATCTCCGGAACAATCTTCTGGTTGTAACTGACTCAGCAAGTCTGGAGCGTTACTTGCCCATTTCTTCAGCTGTAGACCGGATCTGGCAAGAGTATTTATCAAATTAGACTGAAGAGTTTTGGCTCATTTAGTGATCCCGCTCCAACACAAATATCGTCCATATATGTTGGATTGTAAAAAGTGTTCTTGACATCCAGTAAGTCTTCACACTCCACGTCAATGTACCGGAGGACACGCAGAGCTAAATAAGGAGCACTATTTACCCCGTASGTGACCGTGTTGAGTACATATTCTTTGATAATGACTTGAGGTGAATCTCTCCACAGGATATATTGGCACCCTCGATATTGCGGTAACAAGTCAATCTGACGATACATCTTACAGATGTCAGTYGTGAACGCCACTTTATGCACCCGGAAACYAATTAAAACATCGACAATATCCTGCTGGAGCTTCGGGCCAACCAACAAGCATTGGTTGAGTGACACCCCGGAATGGCATTTCGCAGAAGCGTCGAAAACCACCCTTAACTTTGACACCTCTCCTTCCACCTTCTGAACCGCATGGTGAGGTATGTAATACTGGCCTGCTYCTTCCGCAATAGATATGTGGCCCAACTCTTCATACTCCTGCATGAATTTTTGGTAAGCGTTGTACAAGATTTAATCGCCTGCAAGCTTCCGCTCCAAATGCAGAAGGCGATTTAGAGCCACTTGACGCGAGCCGGGAAAGCATTCAGTTGATCGACCAGAGCGAAAAGGGAGAGGGACGGAAAAACGACCCCGTGAATCTCGGCTCATCTCAGCCTGAAACAACTCTTCACACAAGCCATCTTCGGTAAACTGAGGCGGAGCAGCCTCAGGTTCCTCAACCTTYTAAAATCTCTCCATGATGGATTCAAAKGACGGCACCAATGATACCATGGATTGTGCGCCCAACCGAAAACGGAGCTGTAAACAGAAGCGTACCCTGGACCCAATGACCTGCTCTTGTCATTCCAGACTTGAGGGAAGATGTCAGCAYCGATGAGCATATCGACTGGAGCARGTTTATCAAAGCTTGGATCCGCGAGCGCTAAATGTTTGCACCTTGCCCATAGCTGAGCTGGTAACTGTCGGGCTGGCATGTCGGAAGTTATCGCGGTCAGCACCCATGGTTTAACGTTGATGGATGGACTGGGATTGCCTCGAGGCTGGATCGTCAGCTGCACGATTCCCTGCACATTCGGAACCTTTTGGCCTGACAGCCCGGTAACAGGTACTGTCCAACGCGAAGGCTTTAAGCCCAAACGATTGCAACAGGCCGAAGTTATTGCACTTATTTGAGAGGCGGCATCAATCAGGGCTCGTACCGTCTGGCCATTCCCCAYTGTGTTWTGTACATGGATCAGAGCTGTCCCCAGTAGCACCGTAGGAGATTTCTGTCGACCTAGCATGGCCGCTGGCGGATTCAAAGCCGTTGGTTTTGACTCCCGATGTAGTAATGTGTGATGTCGACGTTTGCAAATGGAACATGAAGAAGGGCATTTCAACGACAATGTCCCTTACCAAAACTAACCATGCAAAGTCGATGGGTACACACGAAGTTATAACGTTCATCGATCGACCAAGCCTTAAACTTGGGACAATCAGCTAATCGGTGAGTACCGGAACAGGCTATACATTTTGACGGAGCAGTCTTCGACGAGGGTTTAGACGAAGTAGTGTCGGACGCAGACACCAAAGTGGATCTTACATCACGACGAAATCCAGTCTTCTTGATGTTGGTGAGCCTGGACGTTTTCAATAACTTGAATCCTTGTCTTAACAAACTTTAACACACTATGAATGGACGGATATTCTTCCTCGTTTTCAGCTTCAAACAAACGTCTCGATGACATAGGTAAACACCTAGCAGCCAAAGAAAACAATAAGAACGAAGACAAATCCGGAATACGGAGCGATTCCAAAAYGGCAATATTTTCATCAAAATTTGATAAGAAAGTTTGCAAGGACACAAAGGTTTCGRAACTCACGAYAGGAGTCGATAGTAACTTATCGATGATCAACGAAGCGAGCTTGCGCGGCTTATCATATCGTTCGACTAAGGCGTTCCAGGCTAGAGTATAGGTTTCATTCGAAATTGTATACCCCTTCACTACCTCT